TGCAAAAGAGGTGTCTTAGAACCAGTTTTGCAACTCTTAGTGGGCCAGCTATCTCCACCCTGCCCACTCTTCCCCATCCGTTGACAGAAAAAGACAAAGTTATCTCCAAGAAAAGAGATGAATATTAGGAGAGCTTTTTGGAGACTGACATGTATTGAATCCCGCTTCCCTGGCACCATAGAGGAGAATGATAGTTCTAATACCTTACTTTAAGTCCAGAGAAAGGAGTTCCAACTCATCTACACTGAAAGCCTGGTATTTGTTCCCTGGACCTGGAGAGACATAATGGACTGCTGTCTGTCTCGGGCCCAAGAAATCTAAAGGGCAGAGACCGTGGCAGGCACGTTGCTATGAGGGAGGCCTGCACGAAGGAGGATTGGCTGCAAAGGGCTTCGCCTCTGTACAGGAGTACAGATGTTTACATAACTGGAATGAGGCTGTGTCTTTGTGCCTTGAAATGACCAAAAGAATTTATATTACCTAAGAATGACAGAAATGTCATGGGACCTACCCTAGATTTCATCCTAGAGGCAGGGGAAGAAATGGCCCAAAACGAATGGATTGAAAGGATCATGGGAGAGAAAAATGAAATTTCTTCATGGTTACACCTTTTGTTTCCTCTGTGTTCAATTAAGTTGTTTTACTATGTATCTATGACGTCTATGTGTACGTACATATATGCATACACCACGTATACCTACCTGTACACACGTGTGTATATATATTGATATATATATATGGCACATATGTAGAAGAGCAAGATTGTAACATAAAAATAATAATAGCTGTAATTTATTGATTGTTTATTATGTTCCAGGCACTGTATTAAGACCTCTACAAATGTTATTTATTTTTCACAGCCATCTTAGACAGAATTTGTCATTGTCATTTTATTGAGTCAGCTATTAATTAAGTAGCAAGTAGTGTTCCCAAGAGCTCACGTATGTTAAGTGGCTTAGTCTGAACTTGAGTCTGCCTGACTCTGAGGTCCAAACATTTTAACCACTGGTTTATTTTGCCCTTAGTTATAGGCAGCATGGCCTTTGACAACAACAGATGATTTTATTATGTACTTTTTTCCAGTGAGCACTGGGCAATTAAAAAGGAGTGAGAAGATTATTCGTAAGATGTGGTATAAATCAGCTTATTCCTCCTAAGGACGTATAATGAACCTAGAAGGAACAGTGTGTGACCCTAACAGAAACAACAGTTAGCACAAAAACAACTTGCTGCTTTTCTCAACTGAAAATGCAGAGCTACTTCCACCTGCAGGCCAAAGGGACAACTGCAGTATTTCCAGCTGAGCAGAGACTGACAGTTAGGGTGCTGGACCAAGGGCACCACTCACTTCATCACCAGGTGGCTCTAAATCTTCAACCAGGAGTAATGCACATACTGGGTGAGCGGGAACACAGTGCTAACGAATCGACCACGATGTCTTAGGGATCCTGCAGAACGAAAAGCTCTGGAGCTGCAAAGATGATTGAGCCACTTCTGCCAGCACAGTATTTATCCTGGGGGACCCTGGGTGATTCAGAAAGAGCAAGCTCACCTTTACTATCTCTTCTGTCGAACATGGGGGCTTTGAGGATTAAATGAAATTCATCACCTAGTTGTTGAGAGCCTACTATAGGCCAGGCAGAATTTTAAGCATTTGGGGTGCATTGATGAATCAAATAAAGCTGTCTGTCTTCATGGAGCTTAGATGAGATAATGTATTTGAAAATATTTTATAAACACTACTGGGTCACACGCAGAGGGATGATTGTCCTTTGTGTTTATACTATAATGGGAATCCCTGCATGTTTTTAACCAATGTGCCCGTGTACTACTATCGGAAGTCGTACTATCACTTAAGACTGTACTCAGCGTTGCCTGAACGGAACTCTCACTTCCTCTCATGTGCCGGGCTCTGGTCCACTCACTGTAGCTTCTCAAGGACAGGGACCAGGTCTTCCATATTCTATTTTCTTTGTGTCTCCAGGACCTAGCATAGTGCCTTTCAGAGTAGGCTATATGTATATGTGTACTGAGTGGAATGGAACTAAACTACGATTAAGTAGATAAAGCTAAGTATTGGAATCTAGAGCATGGGCAGAAAGAAGAATTGATTTAATTACATAGGCTCATGAATGTTTTTTTGCTTTTGTTTTATTGAAGTATAGTTAATTTACAATGTTTAGTTTCAAGTGGACAGCAAAGTGATTCAGTTATATATATATATATATATATACACACATATATATGCATATATATAATTTCTTTTTTCAGATTCTTTTCCATCATAGTTATTATAAGATACTGAGTATAGTTCCCTGTGCTATATAGTTGGTCCCTGTTGTTTGCCTATTTTATACATAATAGTGTGTATTTTTTAATCCCAAATGCCTATTTGACCCGTCCCCCATCCCACTCTCCCCTTTGGTAACCATAAGTTTGTTTCCTAGACTCGTGAACAGTTTACTCTGCATGTGCACCTCCGTGCTCACAGCTCCCAACACGTTTGTCTCCTCCTTTGAAGTGCACTCACACTCCACCCATGGAGTCCTTCTTACTCATCGGTTAGTCTGCATGTCTCTCCTTTCTTGGATCTCCTATCATATTATGGCCTCACCCACAGAAATGGACCCTTAAGCATGCTTGTTTTACGTTATTCTCTAAAAGTACTATACTTTGATTCAGGAACAGCTCTATAGTCACATTAATGGTCTCCCAATCCTTAACCACGTAAGACGTCCAGTACAATTTGGGGAATGAAATAAATTAAGGCACAGCCTATATATTTCCTGTGAAGGAATCTCTGATTTCCAGAGATATATGTGTGTATTGGTGTGTGTTCGCAGGCATAGTGCATGCATGGAGCCCAGTGTTTTTTTCCTTTACTTCACCTTCTTCATTAAGTCCTGATATTTGGATTTGGGACCTGTTATGGTACTAATTAGGGAAGACTTTGGTACCAAAGATATAATTCTGGTGTCCCCCTCCCACAGCTTTGTCTGTGAGCTATAGTATATGAGTCTGTAAAGTAATATGCTGGTTTTAATGCTGATTTTTCTTCTCTTCTTCTTAGTCTCTCAAAGCATGGTCATCTGGTTCAGAATCAGAATTTTATACAAGACGTTTACAAAATGGGAACTCTTGACTTCCGTTCCCAATTTCCCGAATCCAGATCTCTGAGGGTGGAGCTCCCGAGTCTGCATTTATAACAAGTGACTTTGGAGATTCCATTGTGCACTCAAGTTTAAGAACCATTGCCCTGGGGTGCACTGTTAGCAGGAAAAGTACATTGTGGAAGGTGCCTGGGTGGCAAGCCAGCAGCCAGGTCCGGGACTTTTCCTGTAATGGGCATGTGCTTTTGGAATTGGTTTCCCTCCCAGATCAACAGAGCATGAGCATTTTAGATTTTAGGGCACAGGGACAGATTCACTTGTGACTCACCGAAGCAGCATGTGTGCGTTGTAGCTGCCTTACACCATAGGTAATTCCATTCTTTGAATGGGTACTTTAAAAACTAAGTGTTCTTTTCCCCAATTGTTAGGTGAAATAAGTCAAAAAATAAATAAATAAAACTAAAAGCAATTGTAATGCCGCTCACAAACTAATGATAACTACTGATAACATATATACTTTATTTATGGCAGTAAATAGACATATGCCACATATGGTTTTACAAATGATTTTACATTTATATTTACAGTTTATACTTTTGAACACAAATCAATTAGAAAACAGCAAATTTTAGTCACAAAAGTTTATTATTTTAATATAGACTTGAAGGATGTTTTATCAATACTGATTTTAGTCTTTTACCCTAAATATTATGACTGAATCATTATTAAGTGGAAAAAAGTAATCCTTTCCTGATCTGTCACTAAAATAACTTTCTTAGGAGATGATTCTTCTCAGAGTAATGACCTGTTTCTAACCCTTTTCCCTTGTTCCTCTGTCTCTTTCTCTCTCAATCTCTCTCTCTCCCCCGCCTTTCTCATTCCCTCTCTTGCATTAAGAACCATGTAAAATATTTTTTATTATCACTTAAAAAAATCTGTATTTTAGTGTAGAGAGGTCTATCTGATAATGATTAAATGAGGGTATGTATGCTCTTTTAAGTATTTTTTTAAAATTCTACTGGTTATGGAATATTTATACTCAATAAGTCTACCCATTCGGGTGTAGGTAAAACTCTAGTTGCCCCTGCTATATCACAGACTTAAAAAAAATCCTTTTATTCTAGAATAAACAGTTTCTTTTTCAAGCATATTTTCAAACATTGGTTCATGGGGGAAAAGTAATCATATAGGGAATTCTTGGTCATGTTAATATTTACCATTTAGCTACTTTTGTCAGACACTGTCTAAGTGATTCACAGACACAGTATCGTTTAATTTTCCCAAACATTTCATGATGTCTGTTTGTATTAATATCCCCATTTTACAGAAACCACAGCCCAAGTGCCTTCAGCCTGTAAGCTTCAGAGCAAGAATTTATACCCAGAGCTCTTTGGGTTAAAATGCGCAACTCTTTCCCACTGAATGATGTCGAAAGGTTAGGAGCCATGGCTCTACCTGGGGCCCAGGTGCTTGGAAACCCTTATGGGCTGTTCTGTCCAGCACTTTGGAATGCAAACTCCCTTGAGCAAGCCCTTGTTAGCATAGTTTCACCAGTGGCCTGTCTGTCTAAGGTAGTCAGCGAATATTAAAATAGTCCTAATAATAAAAGCACTCAGTCAACCATATAGCCCCCTTACTGAGGGGAGGAGGAGAATAGCTCACTTTCTCTGGAGGGCCTGAGAAGGATCAGTTTACAGGCGTCAGCATGGGGTGTGACCCTTCTTCCTTCTCTCCATCTTGGCGCTGGCACGTGCCTCTGGTGACCATCATCTCACATTAGCCCACGGTCTGGGCAGAAAACATTACCGGGGCTCCTTTTCTCCCCCACCCAAAACATTCTCAGTCCTTTCACTGACCTGGCTTCTGATTGGAGGCTCGTTGCTTCAGATAATGACCTCCAGGACCCCTCTGTGGGTTACAGCCTGTTTGTATTACTCTTACCGCAGCTTAAGACGCCTGCAGTGGGGAGTAAGGAAAAGGAAAAGACCAGCATTTTCAACATCCCCAGGTACCAGAAGCACAGAAGACTGACAGCATTCCAGCTACCTGCGTGGGTCCAGGGCTGGCAGCTGCCCATGTGTCCCTTGCAGACAGGCTGTTCGTTAAGATGAGGGATCTTTTTCAGTATGTCGCCTGCTTCTTTGCATTTTTCTCTACTGGGTTCTTGGTTGTGGCCACCTGGACAGACTGTTGGATGGTGAATGCAGATGACTCCCTGGAGGTAAGAAGTCAGCGCTTCTTTTACTGACCCAAGCCTGTCCACCTTTTCTCTAAGCCCCACTGGCCCATTACATTAACTAGGACTAAGATAGTAATAATAGCCAACATGGTTGGACTTGCTTCTTACTTACTACTTACTGAGTCTTTACATTATTAGCTTATGTAATTCTCACAGCTCATCTATGAGGTAGGTATTGTTGTTATCCCATTTTACAGATGAGGTAACTGAATAAGCCCTTTTTCATAAAGGTAAATTTACACAAGCGTAATTATATAAGCTCTCCAGAAATTCATCTCTTCCATTGCTGCATATACCAAATTGAATAACATTCCATTAACATCCTTTCTCACAAACAGAAATTTGTTAACCTTGAAGACAGCATTAAAAGTAGTATGACAGACTTTCTTAAGGAGTGATCATCTAAATGTTGATCAAGTGATCAAACTCAAGTTATATAAAACCTACCCAATTACTGTGCAATGGAAAAAATGTCATTGTAAGGAGTTTCCAAGTAGGAGAAAACATTCTCTGGGAAACCAAGTTTTTCTAGTGTGTCCCAAAGTACAGGAGACAGATATGGGTTTAAGAAACCCTCTTTTAAAAATGAGTTGCTCTTGGGAACCTACTCGTCATGTACAAGATGAGTGAGTGGTTCATATTTGAAAATTTTATTTTTCTCACTGGAGAAGCTCTGAAAGAAGTAGTTTTCAAATTTAGAATTATTTTCTGTGGCTATAGGAATCTGAGAGAGGTAAAACTAAGTAAAAATCAATTCTTCAGACTCAGCAACTATTCATTTGTAAGGTTTCAAAAAGCGTAGGTGAGAAAAAGAAACAATATATCAGGAACTCACTGAGAATATACAGCAACTCACTATGTTCTCCTACGTACATCCTGAATGCAACAATTTACTCTAGCAAATGCTATACGTTTATGAAGTTTAAGAAAGATACCTGAGGGCAAGTTTTTATACTTTTTCTTCTAATTTTATTTATTAAACTCCCAAGTTGGAGTTTCAAATGGAAAGTAATAATCTTTTGTTTTTCTGTGTATTATTTTTGTGTTTTATTTTTTTCTTGCTTTTAAATTTCCTCTGACTCTTATATGGTATTTCAAATACAAGAGAGTTTTAAGTGATTCTTTAGCACTAGAAAATTATTTTTCTGAAAATTGTGATAGAACTGAAATACTATAAAGGATGTCTGCTATATGTTAATCCAGTGGTGCATTATCTGGCCATGCACGTAAGTGGTGAATGAAAAAAACAAACCAAAACTGTCCTTTGAACAGTACTCAGAAAAGTGCAGATAGAAATGTTCTGCTGCCATTAGCTTGCTAGAGTATGGGCTGCCAGTAGTAGGTGATGAATACAGAAATATGTTGGACTTGAGCTCACTTAAAATTATGTTTTTAAAAACATGCAAAATCTCATCTAAAAGCATTCTTAAAATATTTTCCAAAACAATTTGAAAATCTTTCTCCTTAAGCTGATGGAACTGCTAACTTCACTTGATAAGAAATGAAAGTTTAGAAAGGGTCAGACCTTGCTGAGACGGATTGGGAGTTCTGGCATTTAAAGTGCCTTCTTGCTTTCATCTCAGTACATACAACCAATCTTCCCTCTGTTCTGTGCAAGAACACTTCTAGGTAAAATGAGTGGAATGAGTAGTCTAGTTTATTCACCTTGAGTAAATCCTTGCTAAGCTCGGACTATAGTTTAGTAGTTCTTAGCTTCTTTCATATTTCCCATACTTGAGATGTATTGCAATAAATCTTCCCCAATAATCCTCCCCATTAAAAGAAGAACCCTTTAGTCATTTGTAGAGACGTGGATGGATCTAGAGACTGTCATACAGAGTGAAGTAAGTCAGAAAGAGAAAAACAAATATTGTATATTAATGCATATATGTGGAACCTAGAAAAATGGTACAGATGAACCGGTTTGCAGGGCAGAAATAGAGACACAGATGTAGAGGACAAATGTATGGACACCAAGGGGGGAAAGCGGCAGGGGCTGGGGGTGGGATGAATTGGGAGATTGGCATTGACATGTATATACTAATATGTATAAAATGGATAACTAATAAGAACCTGCTGTATAAAAAAATAAATAATATTCTAAAATTTAAAAAAAAGAAGAACCCTTTAACAAATGAGGCCCCCTTCTCTCCAACAGTCTCTTTATTTGTCAGTATTTTTAAAGGGACATGGAACTCGCATAACAATTACTCCTTCAGTTGGCTAGCATATAAAGTCATAATATTATCCATAAATGTCAAGGTTCTGATACTCACTGACTCAATTTTACTGTTTTGCCTCTTTGCTTCCCTCCTTGTGCATATATCGTTGTTGGTCCATATTAACAACTCACTTTAAACAACTACTGGACAAAAATTGACACAATAAAAGGACTTTTAAAAAAAAGCATACCCATAGAAAATTTAAACAAAAAGGAATGTAATGAACTTTTTGCTTTGTTAATCTTTGACAGTGATGTAGGCATCAGTGTTGGAAAATGGATTCTGTAGTTCAGTTCAACAGAACAAACATGAAATGTATGTCATTTCAAAGGTGCCGTGCAAATCCTCCAAGGGGAGTCAAAGCTAAAGCAAGAACCATTCCTGCCTTTCATGAGCGCACGTTTAGGGAGGAACAAAGATGCACATGGAACTCTAATAGAGGGTGTAGGCCAATTCATATTTGAGAAAGAAATGAACAAAGCAAAGAAGAGAGAGCGATTATTTCCTGTCAGGAGCATTGAGACAGGCCTCAGGGGGGAAAAGACATTTGAACAAAGCGTCAGAAAAGATGCCAAGGATTTCAAAAGTTAGAAATGGCAGCAGAGGTCTTCCGAGACACAGGACAAATAACAAAACTACAGGCTAAAGGTGAGTAACAGGGAGCAAGAAGCAGAGCTCAGGTATCCTTTTGACTTACTAGAGAATACTCAAAACACTACAAAATAGTATGGGGCCTCATTTATACCTGTCCTGAAGAGGTTAAGTAAAAACATTAGGAAAAAGAAATAGCACACGGAATTGTGCACAGTCCCAAGTCAGGGACCAGGGGTCCTGAGCTACCATGCTGCTCCTGTCATTCTTGATTCATGTGTGTCTTGGGGAAGACTGATGTGTGAAGAGAACCTGGGTTTTGAAATTATTCCAGCCTGTGTTCGCATCTTAACTGTCTTCTATTGAGCAGTCATAGCTCGTGTCTTCAGCTCAGTTTCCTCAATTATAAAATGAAGTTGAACTCAGCTGTTTTAAGGTCCTTTTTAGTCCTACGTTCTTTATGAACTCCTTGACTATGACTTTCAGAACTCCTTGACTATGACTATGTCTAGAGACTTGACTATGTCTTCCAGAGAGATGGCCAACCGCTGGAGGACTGATGGCATCTAGAGCCTCCCTAGAAATTTCCACTAGGAAATCTAGTGTGAATAGTCTTCATTTTTCTGTTAACTTTATATGCTCTTTCTTCCTATTTCTCACTCTACTTCTCTCCTTACTTTTTTTCTCCCTTCCTTTCTTCTTTCCTCCCTGCCTCCTTCCTCTTTCTTCTTCTTCCTCTTCTCCCTTCCTTCTCCCCCCTTCTCCCTTTTCCTCGCTTTTAAAAAAACTTTCATGCCCTACTTCTCTTTTATTCTTCTTTTTCTACCCCACCCTTCTCCTTCATCTCTTTATCTCTCTTTTGTGCTCCCTTTTTTTTTCTTTTCTTTCTATAATCTTTCATTCCACAAATGCTCTTTGATACCTACTGTCTACTTGGTACTGTGGTGGGTACAGGTTATGAAGGAGGATGAAACTTGGATGTTCCTTAGGTTTCTCCCAGCATATTGGCAGAGACAGACAGGTAAACTGATAGACAGTATGATATGACCAGTCCTATGATTACAGATAACTCTGAGTGGCCAGCTCACTTAGTCGTGTATAATCAGTGAAGGTTACCCAGAAGAAATATCTAAACTAGGCTTGAAGAACAAGTGAAGGGGGAAGAAAAAGTAGAGAGTATTGCATGTACAGGACATGATCTAGGCAGAGATCTAGGTATGAGAGTGCTGTATGTTTATCACTTTGGACATATTGGAAAAAGTTTCCAACATAGGGAGGAGAATATAAGGGCTGGATCATCGAGGGCTTGTGTTCATGTAAAATATAGATCTTATACCATAGACAAGGGTGGTTCACTGTAAGAAAACATATATGTGTGTTTTAGAAAGAGCAATCATTCTGGCTAATGTGGGGAATGATTAGAAAGGGTAAAATGAATTATAGGAAGATCAACTAGGCAGCTTTTCCCATAAAACAGGAGGAAAACATTGATGGTCTGAACTAGTGTGGCAGCAAGCATTAAAAGGGTACAAATGAACTTGTTTACAAAACAGAAGTAGAGTCACAGACGTAGAAAACAAACTTATGGTTACCAGGGGATAAACAGGGAGGGATAAATTGGGAGACTGGGATTGACATATACACACTACTATATATAAAATAAATAACTAATAGGAACCTACTGTATAGCACAGGGAACTCTACTCAATACTCTGTAATGGCCTATATGGGAAAAGAATCTGAAAAGAGTAGATATATGTATATGTATAACTGATTCACTTTGCTGTACATCTGAAACTAACACAACATTGTAAATCAACTATAATTCAATAAAATTTTTTTAAAAAGACATGAAGATATGGGAAACTAGAGAACTCACATTGATGGGATTAATAATTGATTGCATGTGGGGAAAGAAGGCTGATGGAGAAGAAGTAAAATTTGAAATCCACTTTACTGTTTTGGGGTAATTGGAGGAAGGATGGAACCACTCACCTAGAGCTGAAATGGAGGAAAATTAGTCTCTATACAGAAGTCATTAAGCAGCAACATCCCTGGACCATGACACTATTTTTTTCTTACTTAGATGGTTGCACAGCACCTTGAGGGGGCCAGGAAGTGAATGCTTTTCAGTGTGGATGTTTATAGGTTGGACTTGATGTTACAGGG